TACAAATCAAGGTCAGTTTACTTGTCTTGAGAAGTACTACTCCAGTTGTTAAAATAGAATGCAGTGTTCTTTGACTGATACTGGATATTTAAAGTCAGGATATCTTGGCCTCTGCTGCATCGATGTTTATCATTCCTTTTAAAATCTGTCTCTTGTGAGCACCCAAATTTTATGAAAGAGCGACACTAAATAGCTTCAGTAGAATGACAATTACAGGATAACGCTGGATGTTATAGGCCTAACTCAGCGTGACAGTAGTACAAGATGAGATGAGTCATCGAGCTTGTTTATACCTGGCATGAACATGCGTTTTGTTAATCTGAACACAAGCGGACAGCTGAAACGCATTGCCGTTCACACCTGTGTCTATTGTCCAGCTGACCACCTGTGTTTGGATATCTTTATTGCCTACGTCCCATACGCTGGAAGGTCAAAGGGCCCTGTGCATGGTTATTAAGTTCCCACTCTAGCCAACATGCTTGCTAGTCATGTGTCATGTTAGCGGTTGTGTCTATATGGCTGGAGACATCGCTGTTAGTAGAATTTGGCACATGTCCTTCCATTGGGCAAAACGATGGATGGTCACGCAACACTTTGTCCAGCTGGTCGTAAAATGGTTAATGGTGTGTTCCATATAGATCTTAACGCTTGTTTACGTCTAGGTCGTAAATGGTACAAACGCAAACGAGGACACATATCGGCAATTTAAACAGGAAGTTACGACATTTTACGACATCATCTAGAGTCTCAGCGCTTGTAGCAACGTAAATGGATCATAGCATAATGGTCAGTTCCATATAGATCTTACCACTAGTAAGGCGGTAGGAAAGACAGGAAGCTGCGCAAAATTACGCAGCAACACGTCATGACACGCCTCTTTGAGGCCGTTCTACCAGTAGCGGTCTCGTATGAACTCAGAGGACTACGAGTTTTGAAAGACTGACGTAAGCAAAGATGGCTGCGCCCTATATTTACCATAAGTGGCTCTGCTCTTTACTATTATTTTTACTGTTTAGCAAATTTGATTTTTCATTTTCATTTTCATTTTTCATTTTAATTACTCGTACACATTATAATGCCTTATGGGAATGATTTATGATGTGCTGTTGTGCGTGGAATGTCGTTAATGTGTTGTTTATCCGTTGGTGTTGGTGAAAGTAGCTAGCAGTGTTGCTAATATAAAAGGCTCCACTACTGCAATAGCAACGACAGCTTTCTTGGAGGCATCCATCTTTGTTTACGTTTAGGCTGTAAATGGTACAAACGCAAACGGAGACGCATATCGCCAATTTAAACAGGAGGTTATGACATTTTACAACATCATCTTGAGTCTCACCGCTCGTAGCACTGTAGCCAAAACAACCAATACGCCCTGCACTGATGACGTAGTCCTTGTTCGGGACACATCAGGACACGCTAGCATTTACACTACAAAAGATATGTGTTCAAATGCGTCCACTTCAGAATGTGGTTTGAGTGACTGGATCATGATGGATCACATCCTGGTGGTTGTTTACACTTGAATTTAGCGTGGTCCACTTGTGATCAGATCACCCAAGACATGTATTGATACCAGGTACACGCAGGCTGAGATAGTCAGTGAGCAGGCCAATCCTAAATTGGCAACCATAACTAGGTACAGGAGGCCTGTCAAGCGTCGTCGCATGTCGTATTTTTTCCTTTTCTGAAACTGAAATCTCGAGAGGAAAAATGACCTCACCCACAGCTGAATCCATTAAACATTCAACAAAAACTTCTTTGTTTTCTCAAGGTAAGACACTAGCTAGCTTAGCACGTTGGCTAACAAAGACAGATTAATATTCATCGTAAATTACTTGTGTTTTAAGTTAGGCAGTTGTTTACCGTTTGAGGCTGTTGGCACCGTAAACAAATGGAGAAGTGGGATAATTTAATTTTGCTAGCAATGGGCTAAAACAGATATTAGCTAGATAATGAAAGGTGTAGGGAGTCATAAACGTTAGCCTAAAACAAAACAATACATTGAATTACCCTGCTGTGAAAGAACATTATTGTTCCTACATATGTTTACCCACAGTTTTAATGTCCTCTTTATTCACACTGACCATCAATAGATCATATTCTGAATGTTACTTTTAAATGCATGTTGTAGTCCTTTCTGTCTACTTCTTTCTGATACTTTAGTGTTATTTCAGAAATGTGTGATTATTTCCTTTGGATTATCTCTCACTGTCTCTCACCTGATAATGCATATTGACATGTTAGGTGCGAAAGTTTGAAAGTAACCAAGGAGGTGGGGTTTTGCAAAGGGTCGATTGAGTGAAAATGGCTAATGGATTTTATTTTCTATTTGTAAAAGCCAGAAAGTGTTATTTAAAAAGTTCCACAGTCTCACTTTAAGATGAAGTATCCAATCAGATTCTAAGCCTGTGCTTTCTCACAGGCATGCTACCGCAAAACACTGAAGCTGATCCACTTTGAACCCCTGGAAGCTACCTGACATGTTAGCTCATTCATTGGCTGCTAGATTGCAAGGCAAATCTGAAAGCAGCTCACAGAGCCAACCTGATTGCACTACAACAGGTAGAGCGCCCTCATACTGGCTGTGGCCCCGGGTTTCATTTAGAACGTGTCATGAGATTTAGGCTGATGCAAGATTAGCTATGCAAAGTAGCAAAATCCAAATTCATCATATCACTGACAAAGTTTGCTTCTTGCCAGAGTCTCTCTGCACTCTTCTGTATCCCTCTAAACTGCTGCTTGTGCAGCAGTTGCCGTAGCAAACAGGAAACCATATCATAGTACGCTACCACAGGTTTTTACTCTCGCACCATCTGTAGAGAATTACTCTGTACCTGCAAATCTCACAGAAAGTTTTCAGCAGCAGCTTAATCCTGGCTCTCATCACTGCCAAAGCACACAGCACGGGGACAGCTAGTTTCAAGGTGGCAGCGGAGAGCTGCACATAATGCATCACAGAAAAGAAAGTGTGGCCACCACTACTTGTGACATTTACAATAAAAGGGTCTTTGGCAATGCAGCTTAGTGAATATATTTTACACAGAGTATAAGGTGCCTTTCAGTTTTGGCAAGGTACCTAATTGCAGCAGCACTGAGAGCAGTTTTATATCAGACAGGGCTGCAAAATTAAAGCCAAAGGCCGCAGAAGAATTTCCACTGCCGTCTATACTTCTCAAGTCCTGCCCTGGTCTGGTTTTATGTAGAGGATCATTTACAGGTAATGTTTGCGGAATGCATACCTGTGCGTCCTGGCAGAGAGCATGAATAAGAAAGTGAAATGAAAACTGTTTCGGACAGTCGGGCACTGTGAGGGCCAAGAGGCTGTCAGGCTGGCCACATCCGCTCCTCTGGCCCTGCTGAAGCCGCTACTGCTCCAGCAGGACTTTCCCTGGAACACTCTCTGACAGCGCTCATTAGAGGTCAGTTCAGACTTGGGTCTTTAATCTGAGGTTCTTTCTATACTACAGGCTGCATAAGTGAATCTCAGTGTGAAACTTATATAAGTGGGAAGTAAGTGGTGCATTAGCTCAAAGTACTGTACTTAAATACAATTTTGAGGTACTTGAACTTCACCTAAGTTATCCAATCCATTTTATTGTAAGTTATACCTCTGCTCCATGACATTCATCTGACAGCTTTACTTAAAGATACAAAATCAGATTAGTTACGTTAAATTCATGTTTACACTTTACTGAAATGGGCCATTCTGCATAATAGGTACGTTCACTTCAGATACATACAATATATTGTGATGGCAATAAGTTGTAGTGTTACTTAAGGAACATTTTAGCAGAATTTGAACACAACATTTTTTTTTTTTCTTAAATAAAAGAAGCGTTTTTTCCAATACTGGATGATACAATCTCATATCTCTGCTCATACTCTTTCAGATTTGGAGGTAGAATTTCATATTTAATGTTATATGTTCCTTAAGTGATGTTGGTTACCACAACTCAGAGGTAAGCACAACCTTAGGAAGTGGAGTAGATCAGAATCAGGGTCACTTTGTGCACCTTATGCTCGTGCAAGCACAGTAAATGCACATTAAATGTATAATTTGTCCGTTGTCACATGGTGCAAAGAGTATTCTGCATGTTTCGAATCAGTGTGAAACCTGTTTCTTTGTTGATTAAATGCAGTGAAGGCAAGATGGTCAACCATCATGCTGTTTGATGTTTGAGGGAGTTGCATCTTGATTTTAAGCACTGTATCAACCTGTAAGCATGCATTTCCACGATTCAAATCAACCACGATCACAATCTCAGCAAGCCCATATTGTATGTTTAAGATACTGGCATTGGATTAGGTTACTTGAACTTCAGCTCATCATATTTGAAAGCTACAAGCGCTTTTTAACATTACAATTTTCCCAGGCAAGGCTGCTCTGCCACATTACCATCACAATCTTTGTTGTTGCACTGTAAAAGCAACAGCACAAAGGAAATGCCACTTTGTAGATGCATCAGAGAGGGCTGTTTGAGCCATTTGCTTATCTTCATTATATAATAACAGAACGTGAATTAGCTGTCAGTGGTGTAGGTGATAAGCTGAGCGGGGGGAATTAAGGTCCCCCCAGCTCTCGCAGCACAGGGTTGTTGAGTTATATTTACAATGGCTGTAAATCACCCCATATGGTCAAGGCACTGTAGCAGTGCTCCACACAATGGCCACATAAACACCCCAGCATAATTACACACGCATGTAAACACACACACACACACATACACACAGAGCATCAACACTGCAAATGGTGCACACATATTACATAATTGATACCCCCAACAGCCAGTAGCCTACATCCATTTGTCCACTTAGAAACCCCCAAGTGAATACAGTGTGCCTTTAAAACACTAAACTATATATAAACACACAGACATTCACTTTAGTCACGCATGCACACAAGCATGCACGCACTTTTACACACTCACACACACACACACAGTATATACAAACACACAGGTTGTTATTGGATTCATGTGCAGCGTGACAGCCGTACATACCTCACTTTGTGGTCCTCTGCTGTCTCTTTCTATCTGTTCCTCAGCTCTCCTCCTCTCTTCTCATCTCTCGTTCTCTCTATCACACACACACACACAGAGCAGTGTGTTTGAATCTGACAGATTTCTCTCAGCTCAGTACCCTCCTCCCTCTCTCTCTCTCTCTCTCTCTCTCATTTCTCAGGCACACACACACTCTCTCAAAAGCAGCCCTCCCTCCTTTCTTTCTTCCCTCTCCTGCCAAATATGCCAAATAGCCTCCCCCCCCTCCTCTCTCTCTGTCTCTCTCTCTCTCTCTCACTCCAGAGCTGCTTCTCTCCTCCCATTCCCACCCTCTCTCCCTCTCTGCCTTGTGAAGCAGTGTGAAAGCCACAACCCAAGCCACGCCCCGTGCTCTCTCCTCTCCTCTGGGCGGCTATAAATACCGCTGCTGCTATGAATATACTGCCTTTCTCCCTCAGCATCCCTCACTCCAGCTCTCCCCCCCACCTCCATCCATCCATCCCTCGCCTGCACTGCCCTCCCTCCATCTCCCACTCCAGCCCTCCATCCCTTTCTCTGTCGAATTGTTTTTCTGATGACCTTGTATTATTCGCCCTTACAACGCCATCACATGACAGCATCCTTTCCCCTTCGCGCACTCTCGTGCAGGATGCAACCGTTTCCATGCATGCACGCACATACACGTGCATGCTTCAGAAAGGCATGTCATCAAGCAGCTGCGTTCACACATACAAGCACAAAAGGAGCCACAGACTTGCACAGACGCGACTGTAGACAACAGTGTTTCGTACGACTCGTCTCCTGTGTTTCCTGTCTGTTGCGCCGGATGTGGTGCATTTTTTCCTCTTGACAGCTGAGAAAAACACGCTGATTGAGAGACATGTATTGACAGCAGATCACATTGTACTTCACTCACTCCGTCACAAAGAAGTCCAACTTGCATCACTAATTCTATCCACACCTGAACAAAGATGAGTCAATCTGAATATAGTTATGATTAATGGATGTGCCTATCCATGTAAAATGACTCTGCAATAAATATATTGTATAAAAGACTGAATAAAACATGAGTGAATCAGTGTGTTTCTGTCAGCATCCTTCATCCCCTCACTCCATCTTTTAGGTGCATTTTGTATCCAATTTATCAAACACAGAGGTTGGTTTATCACACTGACGGCAGTGTAATGAATCAAACATAAACTGTGTTTAGTTTTATGCTCTCAGCATGTACTCCTGCACTATACAGTAAGTACACGTAATATATCCAACATGTCAGGCGGATTCACCTGCAAAAAAACAATGGATAGATTGTGCATTTACAGTAGGTATTATGAACATTAGGCAGCATCATGTCTCTGCTCTTGCTCACTGCCAGCAATATTGTCTGGGAATGAGGTTACTAACATCTGGTGCAGGCGCGTTATGCGCACCGAGGGTACACTTAAACGGAATCAAATCTTCGCCTGTAGGCTATATAGTATGTCACGGACGTAATTAATCCTTGGATTGCACCAGCGCCGCCGCAATAACTTCATAAATGAAACCACCAAAACTGTGAGTAGGACAAAGACAAAGAATTCTACCTGAATGGAAAGAATGTTTTTTATGCTGCCCCTTTTGATCTTGGTAGATATAGAGTACCACAGGGTGCCTGTGCATTGCCATATAAGGTAGCACAGCCCCGTGTAATGACTTGTATGGTTCTGGTTGCTTTTCAGAGTCATGTGTTGCCTCCTTTTGTCTGTTGTTTTGCATGCACTGGCACCAGCTTGCAATATTTTGACGTGTCTAATATCCTGATAGAATCGTTAATATGTTATCATCATCATAACAGAAAAATACAAAAAGGTTTGATGAAGGAAAGTCGTTTGCTATGGCAGTTGCTTTCACGTCATTTAATTAGTTTTTTCAAGTTTTCAGTTTAAAATCAACAACAGGAGTAAAATGACAGAAGAAGTGGGAATATCATGGACGGTTAAATGATTTTATTTGCATTAATGGTGGAGCAGTTGACAATGTTTTCTCCAAACTGTTTGATGCATGAGGCAATTATGAGTCACCAGCTCAGAATCAGTATCACAGTGTGTTTGTGTGTGTGTGTAGGATTAAGTGTGTGAGTGAAAGATTGTGTTGAGCACTGCTGATGGCCAAAATGTAAGTGCGTGCTTGAGAGGATGTGCTGATGCACGTGCAGGTGTGTTTCAAAACCGTTTCCTCGCCTCTGTTAGCGCAAGGGCCCCATGCAGGTCCTCTGCGTTTTGTGTGTGTATCTTCAGCGAGTGTGCGAGGGCTTTATGCAAGTCCTCAGGGGTGACCAGGTTGAAGCGCAGCAGAGAGTCGACCAGCTGGGAGCGAGCGCTGCCGATGAACGAGTGCGAGAGGAAAGGCGCGAGGCCTCCCCCGGCTTTCATGGTGTAGAGAGGGACTCTGACCGTTCCTAGAACCTGAGAGACACACACGCACACACACACACACACACACACACACACACACAGAGAACAGGTGATAAGGAACAGAGCATGAGATCGGGTAAATGGCTGCAATCAGTCATTCTAGACAGAAAAATACACACACACACGGTACCTCCTGTCCATAATCTGTTGCAGTGGATACAGCCGCTCTCTCCACCTCCCTAATCTGTTCCTCCTCCATCTTCTTCACGTAGAAGTGAAGGATAAGGCGGGAGGGGCGGGAGGGAGAGGAAGCAGGGGCAAATCGGGAGTCCACATGATCTTCTACCGATATTGGCACTGCCACGCCCAGCTCCTCCAACAATTCCCTGCTAAGCCCCGCTTCCAGGGTCTCCTCCGATGGATTAACAAGCCTGAAGTGTAGGAGTTGGGGGCAAAGGTCAGGATCAGATATGAAAGCAGATAAACAATTTCAGCTGTACTGCTCTCCCGAGACTTTTTAGTGCGGAAGTAAATAAATCAAGCTGAATGAAAAGCTCACTCAATTTAAAACAACAAAACTAGTTTGCTGAGCTGCTCCTGCCTCAAGTCCATAGACTGTGTAAAGGAAGTGGACGTAGCCACTGTGACGTCCCCCATGAATTTGTCGACTACCATAGAGTGCCCCAGAAATGAGTCCTAAAACCCGGAAATTAGCATTTTAGCACTCCTAGTTCCCGCGTCTCAAAGTCGATGGGTTTTTTTAATCGAATTTTGGTTGGATGCCTGAAATAAGGTCTTATCACGTGCTTAAGAGACTTTCCTGTTTTGTTCTACAACGTAAAATACGTCAGTTAATACCCCACTTGTGAACCTAGAAGCTTTTATGTGTCTTTAAAACGGTGGATGCTAACAAGTTGCTAAATGAGACTACAGACCACCATCAGGTCGAACGGGGGCAACGTTAAGACATGCAACTGTAGTGTAGTTTGTTTATAGCCTAACATTAGATTTTACTTAAAAAAAATTACTTCAAAAATCATAAGGAGTGTTCATTTGTGAAGATTACCTTGCTAAACAAAACATTTTTCTAATACCTTATTTTCTGCAATAGTCAAGAATCCAATGCAAAAATCCCATAGGCTTTTTGACGAGGGAACCAGGGTGAAGCTAACTTCCACGTCAGCCTAAAGAAAAACGTCATCCCTGAGGAGGATTTTTTTGCATTATAGACCAGAGGGTGGAGCTGTGGAGGAGTGAGGGGTGGATCTGGACACCGCCATGGTACAGACTTGTAAATCACAAAATAGCCATGCCCAAGTGCATACCCTGCTGTATCGTCTATTACTAAATAGGACCATAACTTAAAAAATGAACATCATGCCATATTGAAGAAGACTTGAAACTAGCAATTGGGATTATAAACCTATCAGGAAAAAGTTTACTGCGATAATGAATCACATGAGAAGAAGGGTTTCTCGCTGACTTTTATACTATTGGACTTCTTTTAGCAACCAGTGAAGTTGCCCCCTGCTGTCCATTAGAAAGCATGCAGGTGTAAGACACTTTTCAGACCCCGAGATACAGTAGTATCTCCTCACCCTCAGAGATAGGGTGAGGAGCTCGGACATCTGGAGGGAGCTCAGAGTAGAGCCGCTGCTCCTTCGCGTTGAAAGTGGTCAGTTGAGGTGGCTCGGGCATCTGATCAGGATGCCTCCTGGGCGCCTCCCGCTGGAGGTGTTCCGGGCACGTCCCACTGGTAGGAGGCCCTGGGGCAGACCCAGAACACGCTGGAAGGATTACATATCCCGTCTGGCCTGGGAACGCCTTGGGGTCCCCCAGGAGGAGCTGGAAAGTGTTGCTGGGGAGAGGGATGCCTGGGGTGCTTTGCTTGGCCTGCTGCCCCTGCGACCCAGCCCCGGATAAGTGGATGAAAATGGATGGATGGATGGATGGATGGATGGATGGAGATAACCCCTTGCTCAAGTTACAATAAAGTCAAAAGTCATTGGATCTTTCAATCTGAGACATCTCTGCTCTGATTGGCTGTTTTCGTTCAGGCGTGGTGGATTCTCTTAAATGCCATTAGAAACATTTGGTAGAAAGATAAGAAGGTAGGTAAAAGATGTAAAAGAGGTAAAAGATATGAAAACAAAAGATGTAAAAGTAACAAGAGTCTACAGCCATGCTAACACTTTTGTGAGGCTGTACGCAGACACAGCTGTGTTTTAGCTAAATGCTAACGTTGGCAGGCTTACGTGCTGATGTTTTGCAATTATGTTTACTACCACGTTACCATGTTAGTTTAGCATGTTAGCATGCTAATATTTGCCCTCATTTGTTGGCTCTAGTGCTAAACACAAGGTATAGCTGAGGCTGATGTCATGAACGTCATTAGTTTTGTAGGCAGCCTATTTGATCATGAGCCAAAGTATTGGACAAATTTAAATTTTGACCTGATGAAAAGCAGGGATCACCATAGTTAAAAAAATATATCCTGAGGGAAACATGAATGCCTGAATCACATTTCTTGATAAACAATCCGATGGTTGTTGGGGATATTTTACTTAAAACCACAAAATGTTGTGGCAATCCATCGAGTGGATAGAGAGATTTTTCACCAGACAAAAAATACTTTAACCTGTTAATAAAAAAAAAAGAAAAAAAAAGAGGATCACCAAGGTGATAAGGTTTTGAGCTTTGGACACCATCTGTACTAAATTTTATAACAAGCCATCCAATGCTTGATTTTTCAGTAAACTGATGAACAATATTTTCCCATGATGCATTGTACAAAGAACATGCAGAAGCTGGAGCTTTGTAAATACCCTAGAAAACAAAAAATATAGCTAAGCAGCTAATTGCATTTTTTCAGTAAAATCTTTCACAAGCGGAAAGAAGCACCAAAATTGGCACAAATACTCCTTGGTGGTTGTTCTTTTGATAAAACTCATTAGCCATGCAAAAATCAAGATGGCCGCCATTTTTTCCAAGATGGCCCCCAATTCAATCCCATAAATGCTATTTTGGGGGCAACTTTGTGTAACATTGTCCAATAAGTAAAATCTTGATATCTAATCATATATTTTTGACCACAGAGAGGCCAGATTTATTGTATTGGAGAGGCCAAGAAGCTTCCTTCTACCATATTTCAGCCATTGAAAGAAAATATTATGCTTACTGATCTCTGGGCTGCTACACATGGTGTAGGGGAGAGTGGCTTAAGATGAGCCAGTGGGTAAGTTGACCCACACACTATTTTTAAAGGAGCTATATGTAAGAAATCTAAAGCAAATAGTCGTAAAATCCTCCTAATATGTCACAGAGACTAAGGAATAATGTTCATATAACATACTGATCTCACCGACAACAATAGTACAGCTAGAATATTCACATTTAAAAAAAAAAATTACAGTCCGCAAATCATGTTTATGTTTTGAATTTGTGTTTTGGCCTGTTGCGCCACCCACCGCCGTCTACCAGTCACGCAGTCAGTAGAGTCTAAGCATCAGTTACAGTTACGACTGAGCTACAGCAGCGCGGCAAGCAGCATTAGCAGTGTCCCGGTACATAGCATTAGCAGCCGGCTCCTCCTCAGCTGTATCCCGGCAGCAGCGTTAGCAGCAGAGAAGCTGGACTTGCTCGAACGGTCCGCTGGAAAACCGAAGATCAAGGATGTGGCGACACGGCCCTGCCACGGCAGCCGCCCGTGGGCAAACAAATCAGTCTCCAGCGTGCCGCTGTCCAGCAACCTCGAATCTGGAGGTGAAGGGGGGCGGACACGACTTGCAGCAGTATTTTGAATTTGAGTGCAGTAACCGTTTTGGCCACATTCTCACATACAGCGCCTTTAAATTAGTTTATAACCCTAACCCTAACCCACAACACAACCGTTCAGCCCAAGTTAGCTATATAGCTAATTTACATCTGCAGTCTCTGCGGCTTCTCTGCTACTGTGCAATTTGTTGTCATGTGACCACAAATTCACGAAGCACCCATCACTTCTATCTGGCTGTGATGGAGAGAAGTACATAGGAGAAGTGGTAAGTATTTATTTACGCAAGAAACTTTAATAATACTATAATTTGACACCAGAATCATTGAAATTGGCCCAGAAAATTAAGTTCTGTCATAAAAGATGGTTGAAATGGCGGCCATCTTGAAATTTACGTGGCTAATGGGATTTTTCAAAAGAATGACCCAAGAGGTACACTCAGTCAAATTTTGGTGCTTCTTTCCAGATTTGAAAGATTTTTTTTGCTGATCTGCTCAGCTAATAACTATTAAATCATAAATATGTTGCTATCTATTTTGAAGTTTTATTTGAAGTGACATTCCAGAGCTGCAGTTTGATTAACAGAGCAGAAATTGTCTCAGTTCCTGTTGTTGTATAAAACAGTTAAATTTGTACACTAACTGCAAACACAATAGTAATAGAAAAAGATACTGTGTACAATAAGTATGCCTACTGTATGTAAACTGGGACAGTGCTGCTTCTGACCACTGCTACCATTTGCTAATGCAGTTTCCCTTTCTTTTGCAATGTTATCATGATTTGTCAGACTTTTATTCTTGCTGCATTACATAAATGCACTGTTAGCAAATGATGCTGCAGAAATCTTGGCAGTGACTACTGTAAATCCCAGACACAAAGAAACAAGTGATTCATTTTAAGTTGAATACTAATTAAGCAGTACGTGTCTGGCAGTTACAGTTGTTTGAAACTGTTTTTTATTTTTATGGCAAGACAAGGTACCTTACAGAAGAACCTGTCATGTCATGTTTCACTGTTCATCCTTGTAGTTTATGTACTCCAGTGACAAGCGTGTGAATAGTTATTCTGTGCCACACAGGTTTATATCTTTTGAACGGGCTCATCTGTGAAGAAACAGAGAGACTTACAAACCTCAGCTAAACGTACCTGTGCTGTGCACATAAAAGGATAAAACAAAAGCAGCACCAGGAAAGACTCACCCGCCAGGGAAACCCAGCAGACCGTCAAAGCGCATCTGCATCTGTGGGAAGTGACAGAGGCTGTTATACACTCACACGCTGATGCATCCACACACGGAGGCAGTGATGCTCACTAACAAACAGCAGTGTGTTTTTATGCAAACAGGCAGAAACACTGAAAGCAGAAGTGTGCATCACTTGTGCATGCAGGGACTCAGTCAGTTCCATTCAGACACAAACACATGCATGTGTGCACCGTTTTGGCCACATTGCACGTACGCACACACGCACGCACACACACACACACACACACACACACACACACACACACACACAAGGTGCTCTTCCTCACCAGTATGATATGTCTTATGGGAAACCTCCCAAACAGCTGAGATTTCGTGTCACAGTAGAGCATCACGTGACAGGCATGCTTGCAGCGTGAGCACTCCAATGCCTCTGCCCTCGACAGCTGTCCACTCGCCATCTACAAGTATACAGACAAACACAGTGCAAAATTACAGTCACAATTCAGTTCTTACCTATCACTATGCATGGCTGCTCCCTTGTCATGTGCTGCTAGTGTGACATCATCCAAATACAATTGTTGTGTTTATTTACCCCCCTGCCCAATGACTGAAACCTACTGATTAGCTTTAAGTCCTGCGGGTTTGTATGTGGAAAATCTTATGGCAGGCTATTCAAAATCAGGAAGCTTGGAGGGAGATCTTGTGACTTGTATCTAAGAAGCTTTAGCTCCCTCTGTTGGTGTGGAGTAGGCCTGACAACTGGGGAATCCCTGCCCTGGACAGAACTTTTCATGGGCATTAGCGTAGCCTATTGCATATATCTTTTACGATAATTCAAATATTTTATACTTTAGTGTAAAAATGTTTATATTGTTTGAATATATTAACAATTTCGTAACAATTTCTTTTCTTATTCTAATGTCTAATGACTATTGACATAATTCTACGTTAAAACTAATGTGATTAGTTAGTGGTCAGTATGTATTTTGGGACAACCATCATATTGCTTACTATTCCAAAACAAATCTATATTTTTATTGAATAGGTTTGACAGTGACTTTTTGCCTCTGCGCCATAGCTGTGGCCAGAGGCATTTTGTTTTCAGCTGTCCATTCTCATAAATGCAGTTTCTCAAGAACGCTTTGAGAGAATTTTTTCAAATTTGGCACGAATGGACTCAATAATGAACTGATTAGATTTTGGTGGTCAAAGGTCAAGGTCACTGTGACCTTGTCTGTGTCATTCTGGCGAATGCAATATCTCAAGAACATCTTGAGGCAATTTTATTTTTAAAAATTTGACACAAACATTTATTTGGACTCAACAATGAACTGATTTGGTTTTGGTGGTCGAAAGTCAAGGTCACTGTGACCTTGCATCCCTCTCATTCTTGTGAACATATTTTAAGAACACTTTGGGGGGATCTGTCTACTTTGGTTCAAGGATGAACTGATTAAAATTTGGTGGTCAAAGGTCAAGATCACTGTGACCATATCCTTTGCATTCTTGTGAACGTGATATCTCAAGAACACCTTGAGGATTTTTTTTTTTGTTTTTATTTGGCACACACCTCCACTTGGACTCGACAATAAACTGCATAGACTTTGGTGGTCAAAGGTCAAGATCACTGTTGCAACTATGTCATTCACAGGAAGGCAATATCTTAAAAAGGCCTTTAAGGACTTACCTCAAATTTGATGCAAATGTCCACTTGGATTCAAGGATTAACTGATTAGATTTTGATGGTCAAAGGTCAAAGGTCAAGATAACTGTGAGCTTACAAAATATGTTTTTGGGCCTATAACTCAATAATTCATTCACTATTTGGTCAGATATTGAATTGGTGAAACTCATCTTTGGTGCCCACCTTGTCGGTAATTTTATGTATATATAAAAAAGACACTTTATCCTGAATTTGTGTCTGTTTATAGTCTTCTATCACCCCAAAAATATTTTGCTATGTTAATAAATGTCATTCCTAGGGGGTGTAATGGTGTTATCTAAAGGTGTAGCTCAACCACCTGTTCTTTTTTTTTGTCTTTGAATGATATCATTCAGCGTGTCTCAAATACCCAGTGGGCATTTTCTTCGAGATACTTAATTGAATCGAACTGAGAGATGTTTAAAATTTCTGCTCGGACTGGACGTACTTGTTTCGTAGCTTTCCTCAGGCGTTACTGTGTGAAACATTTTGCCAGATATATTCGTTGTCACATCTCTGTCCATTTGTCATGTTTTTTTCAGTCCAGAACATAACTAGTACTTCATTATAAACCTCTTTATCATCTTATGAGTGACACATATTACCTGCCTGACAATTGTCATTTCCCAGGCAACTGAAGTACTGTCTAATTCTTCAGTCAGCATTTTGAGTACATTGTATTCACCAGCACCGCCTCCAAGTATTTTGGTGACGTTTTGAGCACTGATTGGCTGAAGAAAGCATGTGGTACTGGACAGCCAATAGCATCACCCCATTGACCAATCAGCAGTGGCAAATGACATATGCATTCAGCAGATCCGGACTCTCATACATAACAGGAGGTCATGGTGATGTATCAGTGAAATCGTTTTGGTAGCGTTGGCAAGGATTGTACAACTCAGGAAGTGATATTATCAGGTCAGCGGAGGCTGACACGTTGAGGTAGTGAGACCTGTCGAGCAGGACACAAAACACCGGCTGGAAACAATTGCTAGCTTGAAGGTAGCTAACTCGTGACGACCGCGGTGTTCAACGTATGTAACGTGTGCCTCCTGGGAAACCCAGGTAGCGGTAGGTAAGTTAAGGTGTTGTACTAGAATACACGGACCTGTAACGCAGTTATTACACAAGAAGCAACTCTATGCACTGTTTAGTGTTATTATAGTTACATAACAATAATTCTGTCGAAACTCTTAATTGTTTATCAGTGTTGAATGAATGCATATTTGTAGCTTTTTCTGTCTCTGTAAACTCGTGCTGAGTAAGTGCTACAGGCTGCTACACAGCAACAACGATAACAGTAAATTAATGTTATATATATCGTTATCATTTTAATAGTTGTTGTAGCATTAATCCAGTTATAATATTGTCCTGTTAGTTTTTGTGGCAGATTACGTAACCTTAAACAGGAAGATAACCTCACAAACAAAACTCAAAGTACAGAAATGGAATCTACTTTGATTCCAAAATTGACTGACATTGACTCATTCAGTCACGCTGTGTTACCTTAAATTCATGTATGAAACCTTTCTCTCACATTTCTTCATGGTAAAAGGTGAACATGATGATTAACACATTACATAATAACATTGAAACTATAACACAACATACGCGCACAAACTCTCATGCAACTTGTGCAGTGTAATCGAAGTATCATTTATCCAGTCATTTGCTTAGTACTTCCCTAACACATGCATTGAAGCCTTAGTGTTAGTCTAACTTTAAAGAGAGCATAGATAAGTTTGACTTTTATTTCACTGTATGAGTTGCATGAGAGTTTGTAATTTCCTTTGCAAATTCAAGATAAAGCAGAATGACAGATTGAGATATACTGGTCATTTTGTGGGTGAGGTATTCCTTTAAGGAAAACCTGTTTCTTTATTCCTTGTACTGTTCTGCCACATACTATAACTATTTTTCATATTACAGGTGAATCAAAATGGCCCAGGGGATACCAGACGAGATAATGATGAATACTGCGCTGATAAAAGACTTGGCGGACGTGGCAAAAGATGCAGCACTTCTGCAGGGGGCCTTAATGAGGATTCAGGAGACCCCCAACTCATCAGAGGTAGGATGTGAAAACAGAGATACTTCTTAGCTGACCTGCACAGACTATCATAATATAATATGTAACATTGTATTACAAAAAGCACTGCCTGGCATTGGCATCTGCCAGTACAGAAACTGTCTCTGCATAATACAGTACATCTTATGATGCTGTCTCTCGTGTGATCAAACCTATTCAGCCCTAAAAACAGTTTAGATATCAGTAGATTGTTATAAGCAAAGTAAAGAACTGGTTACTTTGAAAGGTCAAAGCTGCTACATCACCTACATTGGAGTTGTGACAGATCACGGAGGGAAGATGCATCTTGTTAGTTAATTGAGTTAGTTAAGAGCTTGGTCTAGGTTGCATGTGCATTTATGTTTCATGTAATTTGTGTAAAAATAAGAAGCTCAGTGAGGCATGCATACATATGCATATTTTTTAATTGGTTTGTCCCTCATCTTGGACGCAATACTGGCCCTTTTAAACTCCTCTGATGATTAATCAGATAACAGTCAGACAGTGGAAGAGACAAATAAAAAGAAACCAGAAGAGAGAAGACAAACAGATGACCTGTGTCAGGGTTAGAAAATCATTTCCATCCAAGTGAGATATCATTTGTTAACACTTAACTCCATTAGACAATAGACTATTGTGAAGAAGCAGAGTTCTACCAGACCATAATTCCTTAACCTTGTCACTGTTACTTTGTAACTGCTGGCAATAATCGCTACAAACTCTTAAACCCTGCTGCTTCTTAACCATATTTGCTGTCAGCTTAACATAAAGGCTGCAGGATGACATGGTTAAATACACAGAGCGATTAAGAATGTGCATCTTGATCCATTTGTTTGTCTTTGTGTATCAATAAAAGGGAATAAAAGCAATTCAAAAAAACTAGCAAACACAATAAATATGCCAATTTATAGTCACTGAAGCAATTCCTGTGATATCAGATCACTCAGTTTTGTTTTGTTTTCTCTGACAGTGCAGGGAAAAACATGTGTACAGCCACAATAGTTATCAGACCAACTCTCTGTCTCTATATTTTCAATTTTCATTCATGCAAACTGCATGGATGAATGAATTAATATCCAACACAATGCTTTACATACACTGTGCAGTTAGTTGATAATGCGACAAAAGAATTTATAGCACTCTGTATCTACAGTGTAGTTGTGCAGTTCTTGTTGAAGTCATTGCATATTTAACAAAAGAGGATGCTTTGCTTTGTCAGTTTTTGAATTTCTTTAAAAAATCCAAAGCATATAGATGTGAAAATGTATTTATGTGATGCGACACGGTGAGCCACGGCCAGTAAGAGAGGACATGATTTCATACCAGTGGGCTGTTTAAACAGGCGTGTTCAATGTGAAGTCATGTTAGGAATTTGTCCGGCTTTAGGGCACAGGCTTTGGGACAGATCTTGATTAAGCCTGTGTTTGCAATTTCAGGGATTTTTAGCTTGTTTTCATTCCTCACATGCCGTGTCCAGTGCTTGTGTTTTGTGATGAATAGATTTTGGATGTCAGCATTCTTGTCTTACATTTTATCACTTGTTTTTTCAGTTGGTGACCTACGCTCCATTCACACTCTTCCCCACACCTGTGCCCAAGGCAGTGTTCCACCAGGCTCTGGCAGTGCAAACTCACTACAACACACTGGTGGACAAGATCAGCCAGGATCCAGACTTTCTGCAAGAGGCTCTCTCTAGGTAGCTCATGAGCCAGCAATAACAATGGCATCCTCAGTACTTTTGAAATGTTGCCATCCTGCGTAGTTTCAAGTAGCAGCATAGCATGCCAAGATGATACTTATCTTAAAGATCACAATATAGTTATTTTCTCTAGGTGAATATGTGACAACTGATATAACAGGTTAACACTGTTTTGTTTATAGCACCATTGCAGTGGATGATTTCACTGCAAGGTTGTTCAGGATCCACCAACAAATCCTAAAAGAAGGAAGGTCTCAGGTATGTCAGTTAGTTTGAAACTCAATCTTTCAAATTACAGGCCTTACATAGCAAACAAAATATGATGTTGCTTGGAGACAAATTACATTTGTTATGTATTTATTACTAGTCCATACCCATTGGTAGCTTTGTCACCTTCTACCTATGCCAATCCTCAATGCCTATGTGCAGTTTCACATAGATTGACAATGTCAGTGAGTAGAAAAACGTGGGACAGACAGAATGACTGACTGACAGAATGACACACTGACAGTTTCCGTGATTATGTACAGCATACCATACCATGACTTAGTCATACCAAAAATTAGAAAAAAAACAAAACAAAGAACATTGGTCCACAGGGGGAGCCACAGCGATCGGTCGCATTTTAGCCATTTTTAAGCATTTTTCTGTTGTTATAGCGCCACCCAGTTGCCAATTAGAGTTAAATTTCTCCAGTCACCTTGGGGTGTCCTGTTCTACATATCTATCAAGTTTAGTAAAAATCGATATGGCGGTTAGGCCTAGATAAGAAATTAGCTCTCTAGCACCCCCATTTGTTTGATGGGGTCAATAATGGAGGGGTCCCCTCAGATTATGTGTGGTCATATGCCTACAAAGTTGTGTGGTGATCAGTGAAACCCTTGAGATGTTATACACCTTTATGTGATGAACCACGCCCTCCGCAATATTCATTGCCTTATAGAAGCTCAGTTTTAGTAAGTTTTCCAACTTTTGCCAAGAGGGAACTTTAGATATTGGTCCCTAGATTATGTTCACTGAGTTTCATGCAGATCGGTCAAACTTCCTAGGAAGAGATCGATTTGAAGTGTTTTTCAAAAAATTCAAAAGGGCGAAAATCTATATAACTGGAAGTTATGGGTTCTTGAAGCAAATGTGTTCCTCATGAGGAGAGGCATCTCTGTGCAAAGTTTCATGTCTCTACAACATACGGGGCATGAGATATGCCCATTCAAAGTTTGCAATTTCAGTCGGTTGCTATAGCGCCCCCCTTTGGCCAATTGATGTAATATTGCTTCATCCACATCCTCCCATGATCCTCTACCACTGTGCCAAATTTCACATGGATTGACCAAGTCAGTGAGGAGAAAAACGTGGAACAGACACACAGACAGACACACACACAGAGTTTTTGTCATTATATAATAAGATAATTCAGGATGAATAGTGATCTCTGTTTTTACAAAGTGTTTTTTATTTTAAGTTTTATGAAGCCAGTTAAGCAATGAAGGTCTCACTTTCTATGATTTTACAATTTTTACACATTATAGCCTTCTAGTACGATAATGTAGTATGCATCAATAAATGGATTAATGGATGCACAAACTACCTAACCTTGGGCTTTCAATACATGAAAGGAGGCCTTGTCAGATGATTTTTTTTTTCATCCAAATGAATTTATAAACCAGTTTATTTGTAGTTGGAAATCTCCCTGATTTAACTATTTACGCAACTATGAGTTTTTAGTGCGTCTCTTCCTTTCTGTTGCCACTAAAATCCTCAGATTTCAGCCATGATGACTTTTCAGTTCGTGTGACCACACTGGGCTCATCATTGAAATAACACAATATCACTAACAATAATTTTCATTGTTGATTAATCTGCCAGTTATTTTCTCTTTTTCTGATTAATTGCCTGGTATATAAAATATCAGGAAAGAGAGAAAAATGGCCTTTACAATTACCTGAAGCCCAAAGTAATGTCTAAGAATAATTAGTTTTTTTCCAATAAACTGCCAAAATCCCCAAATTATAAATGTACTATTGCATAAATCAAAGAAAACCAGCATATTCTTACAACTGAGAGGCTTCAGTTTAGGAATGTTTGGTACTTATGCTTGAAAAGTAATAAGTTCTTAATCACTTATTCAAATTGTTTACAATTACTTCCTTTCTCTCGATTAATTGACTTATTGTTTAAGCTCTAAACAATATGATGAGCTAAGTGGCTCAAATGTGGAGCCTGCTCACAGCAGTCTGCGCCAAATGTTCAGCCGAGTGCCTTTATTATTACCTTTTAATGATTAAAGTAGTCTGACTGGGGATTCTTTGTTGTCTTTCCAGTCTATTGTTTTGGGTCTCAATCGGTCCGACTACATGCTGGACCAGGGAGAGGACGGGTCGTCGTCTCTGAAGCAGATAGAAATCAACACCTTTGCTGCCAGTTTCGGAGGTCTCTCATCACGAACGCCAGATGTACACAGGTAAGTCAGTTATTAGCAAATAACCTATAGACTGTGCTTTTATTTTTAAGTGAGGGATTCTGAAAATCACACTGAGAGCAGCCAGGAGAATATTCTGAGTATATGGATACATTTTCTGTTTCAGGACTGAAAACTCAACATTGAAATGAAGCTCATCTGCGTTTGAAAAAGACAACAAAATCATCTAGGTTCACGAAGGCTTCCCTGATTTTGAGAGAGAGAGTAGCTCATGTTCAAAAATATGGACTGACCTTTCTTAGGCCATAGAAATACCATATCAGAATTCTTAATTTAGGCGATGTTCCCCTGTAAGATGAAGGAATAACTGGCAGAGAGTGGAGTCAGAAAGTGATTGTAAATGATTTTCTGGGATTAACATTTGCAGTAAGTGTTCTTCATCTTGTTCGACAGACACATCCTTAGGGTGGCTGGGCAACTGGAGGAGAGCCAGCGGATCCTAGACAACAACCCTGCAGCTGGTCTGGCCAGGGCGATTGCCAAAGCCTGGGAGCTCTATGGATCAGAGAGGTAGGAGTGAAGTCACCCTGAGCCTTTGACACTACATGTCATTGCTTAATGAATGTCCTGACTTAACTCACTAACTGTTCCATCTACTTGTGCTGGATAAATGAATTCATCTTACACAGAGTCTCGAATAAAACCACATTTGGATCTTCTGGTGGAACATGTAGACTCTTATATATAAATTCCAGCTGCATCATACCAATACCATAAACTAATAGATGAGCAAGTCTGTCCAGTATTATAAAATCTCTGCTGATGTTGGTATACCTTTACCACTGGAATGATGTGCTTGACATTGTGTAGCTGGAAGCATAGGCTTATACGGTATGTCATCGTCAGCAGTGTTGACTATTGGTAGAAATTACTTAATCAAAACAGTCACCAGTGAGATCCATGGATTATTCAGAGTGACCAAATGTCCAGAATAGTGTTTTAAAAGTAGCAGTGAGAGTGTTTAACAGGAGCTGTTGTTGTCATTACAGAGCATTCGTCATGTTCTTGGTGGAAGAGAGCCAAAGGAACATCTTTGATCAACGATACATTGAGAATGAACTGTGGAAGAGGTATGTGTGAGTACAGAGGAGCTGTTTTTGAAGCAGCAAGCCACTCCACAATAGCTTTAGCTAACTTTTTTTTTTGTATGGAAGTGATGCAGTTTTAAAGGAACAAACATGACAAAGTGGAATATGTGGATTCACATTTATACCTTGTTTAAACTGCCAACCCAGATCTGTTCTCTGTCATCCAGATTGTTTCTAGATTGATTTTAAAATCAGATCAATCAAGTCAGATTCAAACCACATTTGGAGAGGGTTTGAAATGCGATTCCAATCAAATTTCTACAGATGTGTTTTAGTCCAGATGCTCTGGCCGCTTAAATCGGATTGGTCAGTGTTGTCACTTGCAACGCAACACAATGGCGACGTAATAACTAGAGTGACCATCACCTGTGTAGTTACGTAGTTACTGATACCTACTTCGTCACCACAGCAACCCATGTAGATAGGATGGTGATGTCTGAATAAATTAAACATTTTTAATCATGTGAAAAATGAATCCCATCATCCAGTTTGATGTATGCACATTCAGGTAGTTGGCTTGTATTTTAATGGTGTGAGAAATGGTGCTTTCTGTAAGCAGCACACTGTTGTCACTGTGTTTCAGAAACATTCCTACAATGAGAAAGCGGTTCGACGATGTTTGTAAAACAGGATCCCTTGATCAGGACAAGAGGCTGTTTGTGTAAGTTTGTTTCTGTCAGTCTGTCAAATTAATAAATGGCATAGAATAAATACATTATAAATATTATATATTATAAATACATACATTAAAGCTACATGTTACACACAGCTATATGATACAGTCATGATCAGGTGACTTACTGTGCATTTATATCATTCTCTTTTCAGTGATGGCAGAGAGGTGGCTGTTGTGTACTTCAGGAATGGCTACATGCCTCAGAACTACACTTCCGAACAGGTCTTCACTTAAATTTCTATTCCTAATCTGAGTAGTTTTAGTTACTGACTATGTGAAGTGCAGTCAGGATGGATAATCTTTTTATGCAAACACTACCATCTTGAGAATTTTGTTGGAAGTGGACATTGAGGTGTAAAATATGACTTCTTGGAGGTGTTATAAGGAGACAGACAAAACTTTGTTCTTCTTCTTCTTCTGTGCTGACACATATTGATTATTCTGCCATTGTATGTCCAACATGGCAGAGTAATCAATTCTCTCATTAGGCGATATAGGTTTTAAAAGTTATATATTTATTTTGGATGCAGGAGCAGTACATGAACACAAAGCAGGTAGCAATATATAATACACAGGAAAATAAAACATTATTGTTATCGATTTGCAAACAATGTGTTGTTTCTAAGGGTGGTTATATACATGTGTGTATGAGTGTGTATACATTTATAATAATAAAAAAGAAATAGAAATGGGCATTCAAAAGCGACACACCTTGTGTTTGTTTGGTAGAAAGTTCATATTTGTGTTGTTAGGGATTATTAAAGTAAAAAAGAGGCAAGACGTGAAATAAAATGTCTCAGTTGTCCTGCCAATATTGGTGCCACTTCACTCTCCGCTCCTTTTTCCCATTTACTGTTTACTGGGCACTGACAAACCAGCTTAGAGGTGCATTACCACCACCAAGTAGACTACAGTCACAGTACTGTATCCCCAGCATTATCTGTAAATGCATGGAAAAATAGCTGTTTTACAAGATATCATAAACCTTTTACAATAATAATTCATGCAATCAGTAAACAGATAACAAATAGAAATCTCTACATGAGAAACTGATGCAGGTTAATACCAAGTTCCTGCTGATGTTTTGCAGTTATTCACAAGTGGGTCCTTCGTGTCATTGAAACGATCAAGTCCAGGTGTTTCTGAATGTTTATAAAAAGCAGTATAGGGCTAAGCCTGCGACTGGTGGTCGATAATGATAGTGTGGGCTGAAAATGTACAAGGGCAGGTGTGTTCCATTTCAGTCCCCAGCTCCTCCCTCACCTGCTTTCCCTCTGCTTTAAAAATGGCCTCTTTGCCATGTATGTTATGTAACACCAAGGCCTGAGGGCAGGTGATTGAGGAGAAGGGTAACTGCCAATTAAAAGCAGGTGTTAGTCTCATGTTCCACTCGGGAGCTTCTGCTGAGTCAAGTGCGACACCTTGTGGTAAAATTCGGTACACTGGTCCGGTCTGGTGTTTGGCATAGCAAACCAATTTTTCTACACCGGAAAGGATGATGTTATATTCACTGAACAAATTTAGTTATAAATAGAAATTAAATACATGATATTGAATCATACGGCATTTTAGTGTATTGAGGCAGATCTGAATCCAGTTGTATTGAATTATTGGGTAGTTAAAATGTACTGATGTATCAAAAGAAGACTAAGACATTGTTGTTGTTTTTTTCAATTGTAGAGTTGGGATGTTCGTCTTCTGATGGAGCGCTCTCTGGCTGTGAAATGTCCAGATATCAGCACCCACCTGGCTGGAACTAAGAAAGTCCAGCAGGTGCTCGCCAGACCTGGAGTTCTGGAGAAGTTCTTCCCCAGCCAGCCCCAAGTAGTGGAGCAGATCAGAGCAACGTTCGCTGGCCTCTACACTCTAGACATGGTGAGAAAATAACAGACTGCACAGTTGTTCCAGTGTTTTTGTTGAGGAGCTGTATATAAGCCACACATGACTACATGACAGTTAGTATGAACAAGAAAAAATGTTTTAACATACAAAATGTTTTGGCATGCTTTATGTTCCCATTTTATTTATTTGTTGTTTCTGTCTGTAGGGACCAGAGGGTGACAAAACGGTAGCAATGGCTTTGGCAGCACCAGACCGGTTTGTTCTGAAGCCTCAGCGAGAGGGAGGAGGTACGATACAAGAAATATTTTAAGAAATTAATTTCCCCATGCAGAAAATTCCAAAACCACTAACACATTAGTCACCATTTCTTAGACCTAGAGAGTTTAGAATGTCAATAATGTCATGGTAATGTATGCCGCACTTAATGGCATGCATATTTACAACCAACTTTGGATCATAACAGTAGGGCTGTACCCAGATATTCGGATATTCGAATATTCGTTTCTATGGGTAGGTAATCGTTATGAAAATTTGGTATTCGATATTCGGGGTTTTTTTTTCTTTCTTTTTTTTAAACATGTTTTTTTGGTGCTAAATGTAGTCTTTTTGTTGTTGGTAAATGTAGGTTATCAATAAAAATCAAAACTTTTAAATTGCATTGTTAAAAATGTGAAAATATAATATCGCCTACCAACTGAGCTTGTGCGCACGGCACGCTTGAGCGCATCCGTCTGAGGCTGTGGATCAATGCCAAGTTTTACCACTTTATCACTATTCCCTCTAACTTGTAGCTGTTTTTTCGTTATCTTTTGAATTTAATATGAATTATGGAACCATTTTTGTCAACGTTTGTTTCCCCCGTTTTGTACAATAAATTATTGTTTAAAGTTTCAACAAGTTTCTTCTGGAGCGCGTGACACAAGTGTGTTTTTGAAAACGGCCGCGGACTGTCACCTGCTCAACGCATCAGTACCTTTGGATGCCATGACAGTAATAGCCACTAATGTCAAAATATCATTTACAGACCGATTTAACAGACGATCACTGCTGCCCGACCCGCAGGTCCATTTGCAGGTCCCGCGGGTTACGGGTCAACCCGCGCATCACTACTCAGCTCAGTCTATAAATGCTGTACACACAACAGTAGGCTATAGACATTATATTCTATTCAGGCTGGCAGAACCAGCAGCGCATCAGCTCTACAGTGCACGGCACTGCTGATTAACCATTTTATTGCAGCACAGAGTGTCTGCCAGCAACCAGTTACTTGCAGAGGCTTCCTACAACTTGTTTCAACGGTTCCGATTTAATCAGAAGACAAATTAAACAGGATGACTAGCCAATGTGAAAATCAAAAGAAAGCATAGAATGATGTACTGAAGGAGACTGTTGTGCCATCACATTTTTTTGTGGTTTGAGAGCAAAGATCCAGTCGCCGCTGTGCAAAACTCCGCAATACAATTAGGTCCAAAAAAACCCCGGAGGAGCGCTTCGCAAGGAGTCTTTGAAATGAGCCGAGCCTGGCGTAAAACCGGAGAGAGCAGGCAGCACAGCGGCAGCATTCTGGTAGTTGTAGGTTTACTTACCTCTTGAGCAAAAGCAATACCACAGTCCTATTTCACTGTTTTCTCTGCTCATGTAGCACCAATTCCTAAAGTATTTGCGAAGACCACTAGTTACTGCACAGAGTTCAAAAAAAGTTAACCCAGTTAAACAGAAGACCATCTTTCAAGCAGTGACATATTTCTGTAACTACTGCGAACACTGTTGTCAGTTTTGTTTGAAAACTACAAATGACGAAGGTAATATTCAGTATTTGCCAACTTTAAGGGTTGTGAATGGTGACTAATAACATGACACGGCTGTTTTTGCAGTACATGAACTGTTTGTTTGAAATCTGTCATCATTTTTCTAGGTAACAACATCTATGGATCAGAGATCTGTCAGGTCCTGCAGGGAGTGAAGGAGAACACAGAGAGGATGGCCTATATTCTGATGGATAAAATCCAGCCCACCCCGGTACAGAACTACCTGCTGCGACGAGAAGGTACTCTTCAAATCAGTAACTGTCTCAGTGAATTGGGAGTGTTTGGAGTATATGTCAGGTATGTAATCAGTGTTTCACTGGCAAATAATGCATTTTGTCTTGAGGGAAAAAAAGATATTTAAATAAAAATGTGCGTACCGTCAGGATGAAATAATTCATTTAGCTTTCACTGCTGCTCATTATCTGCGAGCAGACAGAGCAACTGTATAATTCACCGTTTATTAAAGGATGCATGTAGGATCATTACATTTATCACCACCAATAAGTAAACAGAGGAATCTTGGTTATTATTCATCTTCTCTACAGCATTAGCTCCTCAGCCCAGTGTAAGTGTCTTTCAGTACACTGTGTAGCTGTCTGGCTCACAACTTTACTGTTTTGATTCATTCTTCCCGCTCTCAACATGATGTTTCCAGCAGCAGCAGCAGGCAGCAGTTTTCAGCAAACAAGCTTTGATAAACCCACTGTACACTACCTGCTCAGCACCAGACAGCAGACAGACACAGTCAGTCACTAGCTGATGAACATGGTGGAGCATTTAGCTGCTAGAGAGTCAGATATTTCCCTCAGGAGATGGTAGACACAAAAAAAACTGAGCTTAAAGAGAATGAGTGAATATCACACTTAGCAACTTGCTAACAAGTTCACCATATAAACTTAAAAAGCCCTCAAGTGGCCAAAAAAAAATCTGATATTGCCAGTTTAAGTAGCTAGTACAGTGCCCATTCAACAGATGCTATTCGAAACAGGCCAACTGCTTGGCCTGTGGTATGGCTGCTAGCAGCTTTCTCCAGAACCGCTCACACAAACAGCTTCACACTCGACACTACGCTTCTTTGGGTCCTGAGCAATAACTTGTAGTGCCATGGTTGTGTCCCCTAGCACTGCTTGTGTTGGGAAGTCCCGCCACCACTGCTGTAGAGGGCACTGTTCGCTGTTTTATTCAGTGTTTATTCATTTTGAATTAGTTGCATGTTCAGATTGCACCAAATTTTGACCCTGTATGTTCTTGGAACCCCACCAATACACATGCCAACAGGCCAGCAGGAAGTGCAGCAGGCTTTAAAGGTAATTTATGTAGTGGCCAAACATGAAATTACAACTTAAGGGTCTGTAACTTGATGCCATGGGGCCCAAAAAGACATTTTCCAATAGACTTAATTTGGGAAATAGACATATGTAAATCAGGGGGAATAAAAATGGCTGTCACAACCACCATAAAATGACTTGTTTCACCATTAGGATTTGATTCATTAGGTCCAGTAACATTGCTAGAGTACAGAAGAGCTGCATGAATAAATCATTTTATCCCTTTCAAGTTATCGGAGGACTAACTGAAAGTTAGCCACTTGGCTTGCAAAAGTCTGAAGTGCGTTTGATCTGTGGGCCCAACGATGTGGAACACGTGCGTGGGTCGAATTTGTTTGTGGGTATAGGCCAAACTTTTTTGGCTTAATGCTCCACTGAGCAACTTTTATAGGAATGAACAGAGCCCTGCCTCAAACACTTTTATAAGTACAAGTTAAGTTTATAATTAAGACCTATTACCATCGGTCAGGAGAGTGTACACTTGTAATCCTGTCAAGTTAACATGACATATTTCAGCATTTACTAGTCTCATCTATCACCTCTCTTTATCTCCTCACAGGCAAGGTACAGACATGGTGATGAACGAGTGCGTGGGTCATCTGCTGAGGACCAAGAGTTCAGAACACTCAGACGGAGGCGTAGCAGCAGGAGTGGCCGTGCTGGACAATCCTCTCCTCGTCTGAGAAGTTACATTCCTACCTGGTTGGCTTTCAACACCAAAAACACACAAACAGATAACAATGAAACAGTGATATCAATGTGGCACTTTTCAGTCACACACTTTGGCTGCTACAGCTTGAAAGTGAGCTGAGTCCCACATGTAACTTACTCGACACTGGGCGGACAGACATACTAGCAGTGTAAGCTCAAGATGAAGCCTCTGTTCCTCAAAGACACATGTCTTTGTGTTATCTCTGGTTTAACTGGGTGTTGTTTGCCTACATTACCAGTGTCAGTGGTTCCAAAACGGTTTATGAGGACCATGTTTGTTAGCAGTTTTTGTTACGATGATTTCGATTAAGTGGAGTGCTGCTCTCAAATACACTCTCAATGCAAGTTTAGGCACAAAGTGTACTGTAAAGTTTTTGACTATATGTAATGGGAACATTGGATTTCATTAGGCTCTGTAAGGATAGGTTTTTAAAATGTTTGGTTTATGGTTGCTACACTTTGACTGTAGGACTTCTAGGGAGCAGTTTGCCCTGCGTGTGTGAAGTATGCACAACTCTTGACAAAAATCAATGATTGCAAAATCCAGAAAGGTAAAGCCAAGGTTGAACAGGAATAATAGGTTGAATCTCTTGACTGTCTGAGGTTTACAAAAGAAGGCAATGAGTTAAAAAGAATCAAGTGCCCTTAGACAGCTGTTTCTCTTGTTTCTTTTTGCTATTTACCCTCAACTGATGGCCTTTATTTTACTATTTTTATCACTTGAACTCTGCTGAGTGCTGCTTGTTTTTATGATAGGCCCTTTTCTCAGAAGACATTTTGACTGAAAAGCTGAGGTGTAAATAATCAAATTAAAGACAGATTATTTTCATTTTGCTGCTTTGATTTCAGGAGCCTCGTATCCTGCATGCTGGCTCACTGTCACTCTCACTGGGACACCCGAGTAGAACAGAGCCACTGCAGTGCTGCTGTTAACACCTGTGCTTCTCCTACTGTGACAAGTCAAAATGTCTGCTGTGAAAAGAAAGTCTAGTGGGACAAGGAATTAACAAAACGTTTATTTTATACTGTGAAATTTGCTGTGATTTCTTAACCCTGGAATAAGTGGTGAAGCTGCTAGAGGTTTCAATCTCCCAGCTGCAAGAGTCCGTTCTAAAACATCTCACTTCTACTGCTCTCTTGAAATATGGAGTAAAATTATGTTTATGCAGAAAGTAGTAATTCTACTGCTGCGATAACTACTACAATTATTACTACAAATAATTATTCCAATAATAATACAAATATAATTATTATTTTTGTAGCACCTTTAAGACAAAAGCTAATAGTTGAGGGAAAACAACTCAGCTGCCAACTGCAATCAAACTGCTGTGATACAATGTTGTGATGGCTATTTTAAGATCTTGTTCTCCATTTTGTTAGTCAGGGTTATATTAAGGTTGGGGTTATTTTTTTATGGTTAAAAATGTTAGAAAAAAATACTTTTGATGTGAAACATGCAGGAGATATTTGATTTCAGCAACATGAGATGTACACAGAACAGCAGGATGGATGTGTTCTAGGGTTGATACTGTGATTGTGTAATACAGAAACACACTAACTGAAATATCTTATCATATAATGCTTGAGGATTAAGAACCAACTGTCAGAGCTGTTGGGACAAAAAAATACTGCTTAACCTGCTCAACCAGAAAATAAACTGTTTGTATACTTGTTCTTTTTTTTTCTCTGCTTACTGAATTACCTGAGTACAAGCAGGCTCTGAGGTCACCAGTGAGGGCTTGGAGATAATCAGGTCTGTGCTTAAAACTGGGGATTTGGAGTTTGAAAGACGTGGACTTGTACCAGGCAGTTTACAGTTGAAGACTGTAGTGGCAGTGAGGTTTAATGAAATGTCTGATGCTATAAGAAAGCTAAATGACAAAAGCACATCTAAAATGGATCACAGGGCTGCTTAAAGCTACAGTTATTAACTTCTCTGAAAACAACTTGTGTCATATTTGCTGAAACTGACACCATATTCTGAAATAAGTACGAGACCAATAAGAGGCTGCAATGGAACCAGTCGGCGCAAGTTCGTCCTGTCAATTGACATCCATTTAAATTCATTCTTTCTTTCTTTCTTTCTTTCTTTCTTTCTGTGAAATGGGACACCCTAGGAAGCTTAATAAGCTTTTTAAGAGGGGCCCAGGCACAAAATGCAATATCCAATACAATAAAACATTTAAAAAAACAATAAAAACAAGTATAGATGGGGACATTTGCAAGTTTTTATCAAAATTGTTCCATACCTGTGGACCTTTACAAACAATACTGAGGCTGGTACATTTGAGTTTCCATTTTTTTCCCCTAATAAAATGCTTCTTCCTAGTCTGATATGAATACGGAGGAAAGGAAATTGGAATCAGGTCACAAGTCTTTTGTTGAGCTTATTAACAACACAAAACATAGTACAAGCAAGAACTCGTCCATATGAACTCCCAGGAATCTAGTGGACTTCACTCTCTCAACAGGAGTGTCATTTATTTTAATATCAGTAAGTTCAAGGTTGCTCCGATTTCTGTCTGATCGAAAAATTATAAAGTTTGTCTTGTTTATATTTAGAGATAATTTATTGCATTTTAACCATGTATCAACCTTGATCAATTCATCATTGAGATTCTTTTGCAGATCATTTTTGTTCTTGTGTGATAAAAATAAATTATTTAAATTAATATTTTTTTCATCATTGTGTGCATATATATAAAATATAATATATATATATATATATATATATA